TTTTTTTTTTTTTTTTTTTTTTTTTTTGCGGGGAGGTGGGGCACAGGTTGTGGCTCAAATACCAGAAATTCTTACTATTTTTACTGAGAATTGATAGATTTTCTTGAACATCAATTTTCTTGAACTTCGTGATAACATTGGATAATCTTGTCTCCATTTTGTCACTTTTCACTTACTTCTCAACCCATTCCAATATGGATTTTACTCACTGCTGTAACTGCTCTTATAAAATCAGCAAGGACCTTATTACCCTGAATTCTTAGGAAACTTTTCGGTCCTTATCTTACTTGGCTTCTCAGAACATCCCACTGTTGTACTATTTTTTCTTCAAACACTCCTTGCCTTCTGTGAAACCACAGATTTTCCCTTCTTTCTGTTTTGCTCATTCATCAGTTTCTCCTGTCAGTTCTTTCATCTCTACCTAAACATTAAATCCCGGAAGAGAGTCCAAGCTGTACTGGTCACCAATTCCCTTTGTACTCCTCTTTCCCTGAGCACTTTCATCTTTTCACATGGCTTCATTTATCATGTGGCGGGCAAACTCAAAGTTCAATCTCCGCTCTGGCTCTTGCTTTGTTTTATGGATTCAAGTCCTACTGACTACTCCACATCTCCACTTGCATATCTCACGGACATAATCTCAAACGTGGCATGTCTAAAACTTACTACATTCTCTTTACCTTCTTATCCACACCCCCCTCCCCAGTTTTCCTCTAGTACTCTCTCAGTAAAATTACTACCCTTCACTCAGTTGCTTATGCCAGAAGACCAAGAGAGGCCTTTGCCTTTTTTCTTTCTTCCTCGTTCCCAATGTCCAAACAGTAAATTTTGCTTTTTCTACCTTTAAAATATCTCCTGATTTGTAACAGCTTCCTAGGGCTACCATAACAAAGCACCACACACTGGGTGGCTCAACACAAAAGAAATTTATTTTCTCACAGCTCTGGAGTCTAGAAGTCTGAAATCAAGGTGTTTGTAGAATTGGTTCCTCCTGGGGATTCTGAGAGATAATCTTGTCCATACCTGTCTCCTAGCTTCCCATCGTTAATGGTAATCCTTGGGGTTGTTCGGTTTGTAGCCACATCACTCCAATCTCTGCCTGTGTTGTCACATGGCCTTCTTCCCTCTGTGTGTCTCTGTATTTCTTTCTCCTTATATGGACCACTCATTGGATCTAGGGCCCATCCTAATCCAGTGTGACTTCATCTTACTAACTACACATCCAGAGACTCTATTTTCAAAGAAGGTACATTCACAGGTACCAAGGGTTAGGACTTCAATATATCTTTTGGGGGCAGGGGGACACAATTCAACCCACAACATGATCCCTTCTACTTTTCTGTTATGTATAGTGGTGAAAAGATGGACTCTTGAGTCAGACTGCCTAAGCCTGAATCCTAGGCCTGCCACTTCTTAGCTGTGTAACCTTAGAAAAGTTACCTATTCTCTTTTGTGCTTCAGGTTCTCCATCTGTAAAGTAGGGATGAAAACTATCTATCTCATAAGGTTGTTGTCAGAGTTACTCAAGTTAACACTATGTAAAGCACCTGATACAGACACCTGGCACACAGTGTTAAGTATTAGTTGTTATTATGCCCTCAACTGATAATATATCCACCATCTCTACTTGTCTTGTTTGGAATGGTGCCCACCACATGCACTCTTCTACCCTTCCAATCTGTTTTCCATACTGTAGTCAAAAGGATCTTGCAAATAACACAAACCTGGTCACGTCACTGCTCTGCTTAAGACCTTGTGTTCACCTGTCCCAGAGTTTTCACACTCTCTCAACTTCTCCCAACCCCTCACCTTCACCAAGTTAATGTTTACACACTTATCAGATTTGGGGTCAGGTGCACTTCCTCCAAGTAGCTTTCAGATTCACAGGCTAAAGTTTCACTGTGCATCTCTTTCATAATATTCTGCAGCTTTGTTATTGTTATTTGTTCAGTTTTATTTAGATTAACTTCCATTAGAAGGGCAGGGTAACTGCCGTCATCTCAGCTTTTATTACATGGGCTTGGCACGTCATTTATGCTCAATAAATCTCTCTTGAAGGAATAAACGAGCCGATCTTGTCCATGGGTTTGCGTTTCAGTGATTCACACAGATATAACTAGTACACTGTGGCAAATGGTGCACATAACGTAGGATCCTGCTTCACTTCTGCCTCCTAACAGCAAGAAGCAGCCTGCCCAGGATGGAGTGGAGGCTGCTGGACTGTGAGGTCCCGGTTGGCATAACGTGTGTCTTCGTCTTTGTATGATTCTAGCACTGCTCCTGGGACATCGTAGGCACCAAAAACTATGCGCTGAGTAAACTTTCTTAGAACTTAGGTGGCTGGATGTCGCGAGAGTCCCTACACTTTCCCTTTCCTTTTACCCCCAAAGCCCAGGAACCCCCACGGCCCTCCATCAGTTGATTCACCCGATCACCTAAGCTCCAAATGAGCCACGCCCTTCCCTCTTTAACCGAAAACTCAGACCCCAAGTTTTTGACTATTAAGTGATCACTGAGAAGTGCATGAAATGACTGACCGAAACCAATCCTAGGCAGGGTCCCTGGCTCATCTCAGTATCGCCCTCATCCCCGCTCCCAGGGCCCGGCTCCCAGGGGGCGTCTGTTGAACAATCTCTACCCCGCTGCTAAGTTCAAACCTGGTGAGATGAAAGTGGCTCGGCTTTCCCCTCGCAAGGAAGGGCTCCAAGAGCCGAGCGCTCTGCAGCCCGTCTGTCCGGGCCCAGGCTGTCCCCTCAGGCGGCCCGGCTCGGTCCGCGGTCGCCCT